GAGAGAGAGTGTGTGTGTGTGTGTGTGTGTGTGTGTGTGTGTGTGTGTGTGTGTGTGTGTGTGTGTGTGTGTGTGTGTGTGTGTGTGTGTGTGTGTGTGAACGAACTCGAGAGTTACCCTATTATATAGCAGTATATATATATATGATTATTTCACATAGCTTGTACAGATATTGACCTAAGATTCCACGCTCACACAGAACCTGTATTAGAACCTGTCTCGGTTTCATTAACATCTGTTAAATGGCAAAGCGTTTGTGAATTTTCCTGTCACAAAGGTGAAGACGCGAAAGCACATCGCGTTTAGTTAATACGTTTAGTGATTGTCCGACGTACACACGGAATCGTTTAATGTAGCGCGCATTCACATTGACGAGTAGTATGGTTAAAAGCTTATTTGTAGTTCTTAAAGTGTTCTTGCGAACTAATTGCGAAACTTGCGTTCTACGAAGTCTTTATGATATATTTATGATATATATATTGGTTATGGGTATCATGGTTATGGTTAGGGTTAGTGCTAGCGTTAGGGTAAGTGATAGAGTTGGAGTTAGCCTTATGTTTAGTTAAGACTAGGAGAGAGTCGGGGATACATTTGGGGTCGCGGTTTGGGCTACACGCATGGATAGGGCTAGTGTTAGTGCTAGAGTTGCGGTTATGGTTGTAGTTATAGTTATGGGGAGGGTTAGGGGTAGGGTGGGATGATGGTTAGGGTGAGCGTTATGGGTATGGTTGGGGTTAGGGTTAGGAGTGAGGGTTAGGGTTGGGGTTAACATGAATAAGATATCTTACCGGTTGTCGCAGTAGTCGTGGTCGCCTCCTCTGTCCCTGCGGTCACATCTGTCGCCGTGTCTGTGACACCTGTCGTCGCGTCTGTCGCAGCTGTCGCCGTATCTGTCCCAGTTGTCGCCGTGTCCGTCACAACTGTCGCCGTATCTGTCCCAGTTGTCGCCGTGTCCGTCACAACTGTTGCCGTATCTGCCCCAGTTGTCGCCGTGTCCGTCACAACTGTCGCCGTATCTGTCCCAGTTGTCGCCGTGTCCGTCACAACTGTTTCCGTATCTGTCCCAGTTGTCGCCGTGTCCGTCACAACTGTCGCCGTATCTGTCGTCATGTCCGTCGACTGGGCGGCGACCATGTTGAAGCTCACACCTTATATAGAACAGATAACGACACAACATGAAGCACCTGAGTACGTGCTCACACAATCATATCAGGATTAATACTGATAGACTCCTGATCACACATATAT